TCCAATAAAATACAAATCATTGGTGGGTTTCTTTCCTCACTCCTATTCATTTCACAATGTCCTTCTCCAAAACTCCAGTTATTATTTCTGATTCTATCATTAGGGATGGACCTCTGTCCAGTTCAAAGGCCAGATACTTACAGCAAATACTAGTTTTGACTTTAAAAGTATGAAAATAACATTAAATTATTTTTATACTAAATTTTTCATGGATTTAACAAAGCACTTACATATTATTTTATGCCTTTTTAATGTCTACATTAAGGCTTAAGAGGTCTATTTTTAAAAAATATAACAATTAAGGCAGGACTGTGAATTTGTTTCAAACAATGAACCATATAATAAAATTTACCCAACAACAGTGGAATACTTTGGATCTGTTTGTTGCATGCTTGTGGAATTAAATCTGCTACCAATAACTTTAGAGGACATTGTTCCTGTTAATTATAAACTCAGTTTATTTTGTCCTAATATGAACAGTGTGTAAATATTATTCATGTAAACAAATGGTCTGTTATGTCTGACTGTAATAGGCAACCTCTACAAAAATAAAGTGCATGATTTTGTATTGTGTTCTGAGTGTAAAGGTCATTGCAGTAGCTATAAAGAATATTTTATAAAAATCAACATTGTTGTCATGCAGAGTGACCTAGATGATCCATAGCAGAACAGTTTTAAAACAAAATACTGCACCCTGTCTTTGGATTTTATTATCATTGTTTATTCATAGATTCCTCATAGTATACCCTGTCCTGGCCAAATAGCATAAAACCCAGTCCTTGTCCCAAGAATAAAATCTTGTAAACGTCTACTAACAACTGTAGCTGTCATTGCCACGATGGTCACTTTGGGTATGTCCATATTTTGAAACTTGATTTATGGACAGATATGAATGTGAAACATTAAATTGTGTTGTAGTGCAGTGCATACCACGGAAAGTCACATTCAGTATTGATCATGATTTGTTTACACAGCATATCCATAACAGCTACCTGCAGATGTTAAAAAAGCCCCACAAAGCAAAACTGTGTTTTACTTTAAACTCAGCACATTTCCATGCTGAGCCCTGCACATGCCCAGAAGAGGCAGCACCTTACTTGGCCTGGCTCACCCACGTTTGTAAAGATCAGGTGCTTTAGTGGGTTTTTTTGATGCTTTTATCTAATAGCTGGTTGAATCGGCTTTAGCTAAAGCACCAGAAAGCTGTGCTGAAGTGCCTGAGCTATACAGACGCTGCAGAGCTGGGTTGAATTAATGCGCTGCTCCTTCTGGTAAAACGCATTTTTTTGCTTGTTTGTTTTAACATCTTCAAGCAGCCAGTGATGCTGAACACCACAATTTACCCTAGTCTACATTGGCCAGCTGATTAGAATCAGCTCTAACCATGTAACACAGCTCTTCATGTTTGTGTTTGAACACAATAACTTTTTGTGATGCCCATTAAGGTCTGTAGGACTACTCATGACAGTTAGAAGCCTTATGAAAATGTCATATAGAATATAATGTACAAGGAACTAGTAGAGTTATATAGAATTTTCCTGGAGACCTTTAGAACAACTTACATTACAATGTCATTCCCTAGATATTTAAGAGTAATGTAGCCATGATAATCCCAAAATTATGTGAGAGGCAAGGATTTTTTAGGGTGATATCTTTTATTGTAGTGAAGCGAGGTCAGAGGGGGAGTGGATGTTCTGTGAGAAATGTGCTCCTAATGTTTGTGCTCCTAATGCTCCCAATGTATGTTTTTGTCCTTTACGTTGTTTTCTGTGAGAATTCATTCTGGTCAGATATCAATAAAAGATATCACCCTAAGAAATCCTTGCCTAGGGAATGATCATGTTTATAGCTTTTAAACTCTTTTGTAAAGTTCTGAAGAAGAGGTATCATTTTTATTAAATTCTACAGGATGCTTCAAAAGCCCTATCATGGTGCGTTCTGTTGTGTTTAGATTTGTTCTTGTCTATTAAATCCAATAGGACTTTTGCAGAAGGCCATTAACTCAGAAGTAAGTGGATCTGGAAATAAGCTCTAAATTGTTAAATGTGATGGGAAAAAATTTGCTAGACTTCAAGGAGATTAAATCCAGCAGTGCTCCTTAGAGGTGACAGAAAAGTTGAAAGAAAATGGTTGTCAGCATCTCAGCATAGACATTTTTCTTGATACTTACAGGCATTTTTAACCACATTTATTCCAAATGAACGACTTTATAATGCTATGATTCTTTATTGTGGCTAATATAATGTGGCTAGTATATAACTGTGTGTATTTGGCCAATTATTTTGATAAATTTAGGAGATACTGGTGAAGTGATGTAAGACCATTGCAAGTTCCAAGATAATGTCTTTACTTTCCTCTTTTGAAGAAGTGCTGTGCATTTTAGAGGACTTAATGGCTTGGCATGTAAACTATTGAGAGTGACAGGGTGGGGGGCAGCTTTTCTCATGAAAGTTGGGATGTGCCTTTTAACTAGAAAGATTTCCAAAAAAGGGTAGGCCGAATATACACCCCTTAGAGAGAAAAAATATTTTATTATCGTGCTATTTCTAGTATTACTTCTGCTCTAGTAATGTCTATTACATGGGTGAAATTTCATCATTTTTACTGATTTTCACAAGGAATGTTTTTGTACAAAGCAATAGGATGTAACCTTTACAACACTGTCAAGACTGCCAGATAATTGGCAGCTAAGAAGGGGGTTTACTTCTGTGATCCTGAAGTTTCTAGTGGGTAAATGTAGTATTTTGTGGGAAATGTAGAGGGTTTAAAACACTGAGTTGTTTTAAATTTGTTTTGATTTTCTTCAGAATGATGTAATTGGTAACTGCATTTATCCAGCTTACCTGATTATCTGAAAACCCGAGTCAACTGAAAGTTATTCATGTCTCGCCCAGCAGCACATGCCCAGAATTTCTGTTCTGCTTAGTAGGGTTGTGTGAGGCTTCAGACCGCGCTTTGGATCTGGAAAAGATTCAGATGCTTCAGACGCCGAAGCAGCATGTCCGGATTGAAGCACTGGCTTCTTTAGGCTTTCTGCTAATTTTCAAGAATTTGGGGTGCGGTTCCTCCCAAACCCCTATACCTGGTCTTCTTGAAAGTTGGCAGGCTTCATGCTCTCAGCAGAGGCTACCACCCCTGCAAGTTTCATCCAAATCAGACAAAAATAACAAAGATATAGATATTTCATTGTTTCCCTATTATACCCTATGGCCGGATCTCTGAAGAGGCTCTGAAGCTTCGGAGCTGCTTCGGCCGAATCAAAGTGGGAAACTGATCCAGAGCTCCAGATTGGATTGCTGGCATCTGAAATGGCCAGATCCAAAGCCGAATTGAATAGCTGCCTATTCTCACAAGCCTACTGCTTAGCCAACCTCTTGGTTATCCTGAAGAATATGAACATGCAAATGCCTTAAAAGATATGCTGCAATTATCATGCAGAAGGAGGAGAAGTTACTGTTCACAAAGTGTCTCTTATCTGATGGGATGGATGGTTTCCACAAACATAGAGTATCTGTGTGTGAAGGAATAACCATTTCGATGAAACATGCAAGTGTAGGGAATGTTTTAAAGGTTAATGAAGAAACTATTCCCCCTCCTCAGATTTTCCACTTAGTTTTTCTCTATGCAACCTTGACATCATCTTTTGCTCTGAACTTTTCGTTGTCTTCTCCTCCATCTTACTTGTTTGTACTGCTGCCACTATGCTTTCACATAACATTTTCAGGACTCCTTTTCTACAGACATCTTCACCAACCACTTAATCTTGAGTAGCTACTCACTTCAGTAAAATGGGGCAAGAAGCAGAGTTTACAGAGGTATTGCCTGCTGCTATTCCCATACAAAGAAAGTCTTGCATCTGGATCCAGTTCCAAAATTTGAAAAAAAGTTTTTCAATCCTTTCCCAAGATTTTAACTTCTCTGTACTCGTACTTTTTCCTGCTATACTGTTAACACCCAATCTCTCTCTGCACAGTCTGATCCCTTCTGGAGTCAGCACCATCTCCTCTGCCAATCTAATTATGTGGAGCAGCCTGCCTGTGTCTCATTACTTCATTGAGTCCTTCAAGCATTTCAGATCTCAGCAGAATTTGTAGTTCTGTCTATACTTTTTTATCTCTATATTTATCTGTGATGTATTTATTATCTAAGACCTCATAAGGCATTTAATTTCACCTTGGAGAGTTGCATTTCTCCCCAGAAAAACCACAAGTACACAGAAGTTCAGACTTTTTCTCCTGAGGTAAAAATGGCCACTCCAGGAGAAAAATAACCTGGGAACAACCAGGATTAAATCACTCCCTGGAGAATTTCTCCTGAGAGAGTGAATGCCTATGCATACCATGGCTTTTCTCAAAAGGAAAGATAGTTCTTCAGCATCCTGCTCTCTCCACAGGAAGGCAGTGCCACTCACTGGACTCTGCTGCTCAAGCAAGAAGTAAAACATACCCCCTTCACAATGCCCACATTGTGCTGTAGGGAAATACAGGCTGCTCATGGGCCAGTCAAAGTTGCCCTATGCACTGCTGCCCTCTGTCTCCAGGCAGACTAAGGAAGCCTGTAGAGCACACTAAGATGTGTGCACAGCCACCTCCCCATAAGCATAGTGTTAGTACTACAAACTGTCCACTCTTCAGGGCCTCAGCATTTGAATGTGGTTCCGGGTAAGTTTCTCTATCAGGAGAACAAACCTGGGATAATTTCTCCCAGATGATTATAATGTGTGTACACATCCATATTAAGCCTGTAATGGAACTGTTTACCTCTGGGGAATGGTAACTATAAACAATACTATAAAACTCAATTCTATTAAAAGCCTGTGGAGTGATGAAGTAATCCTCAAATAATATGCATTTTATACAATTTAATGTTTTTCCTCTCTCATAAAAATGATAATTTAGTATCTTGGTTAGTGATGTTTTGTCTTAGCTGAAAATCACTGTACAACATAAAGGTACATTCTGTGTTCTAGAAATGACATTTTTTCCCTACTTCTTTCCTAGTCTAAGATATGTACTCGTACACCAATTCTGTATCTGGACTTAAAGTTGGACAAGGGAGCCAAGCATACACAGCCAGTTCCCAAAGGTAGGAATGCTTCACCTTTCCAGGCAGGAAAGGAAATTTCCTTCAGTTGGTTTTCTTCTAATGGTTTGGGTATGAGTCTCCCCACTAGTGTACCATTGTGGTACAAAATGTTCATCTTCCAGGAAAGTTTTGTACAGCAAGAAATCCATAACTCAACTTATCTCAACAAGTCAATTACTCTTGAATAAATCCTGCCCCCAAATAGAGGGGCAGAGCCCTGATCAATGGGAATTGCTTCCATGTGTACAAGGGAAGAGCATCTCATCTTGTGTCTAAATTATTATTCTATGTCACCAGGCCAAATTCTCATCCCTGAAAAACATTAATAATTGAGAACTGTAAAATTAGTTTGCTTGTTGTGATTCTGTGAGATTGGGGAGAAGAAAGGTTAGAGACTGGCTTGGTGAACTAGAAATGATTACCATGCACAGCTGACACATGGTTTGTAGGAAAAGATTTGATGCTCTCAGAATAGGATTAACAACATCAGTGTCAGTGCATTATTCTCCTTGCAGCTGTCAGTATGGACAGTTAGAAGTGTATTAGTAAGTGGGCAGTAGAGGACAGCCACCCTTGAAATGGTCTTTACCAGGTCAATGTTGAGAGAAGCTGGTGACAGAATTGCCAGAGGATTTGTCTGTAATTTGTCCTCTCTTAAGATAAATAGGCCTTCAGTCTTCAAGAATGTCAGTACCAGTTGATATCTGGTTCAGCAACCTGTCCTTTACCTCAGAGAATGGACCACTTTTTTCTTCAATGGTCTTTAGCCAGTCATCAAACAGGTCCAGAACTAAATTCATTTTACGTGGCAAAAAGCAAAGAAAATTAATGAAACAACAAAAAATCTAAAGTAAATGTGTTGTGTATAGTTTTGGATGATAGAATTTTGCAGAATCCTTTACAAATCAAACATTTCACTAATTTGATGGTGGAGGACTGTTTAGATAAATGGTGGAATACAGTTAGGGCCAGACAACTTGCTGTATATGGGGTGGGGGGAGGAGAGAGGGGGAGAATTGTGTTGGCAGGGAATATTGAAACTTTTTTCTTTCATTGTTCCCTTTGGGCACGTCTACATGAGACACCACGTTGCTGTAGCAAGGAACTACGGTGATATAGCACATCACTGTGGCAACATTGCATTGGTGATGCCACTTCTACTGTGCAGGAGCAACGTGTTACTGCACAGTAGCTTGTTTTTACTGCACAGTAGGGTCAAAAATGACCCATGCATCACCAGGACTGCACAGTTCCCAAAGGTATCGCTCAGTCATTTAGTATTTGATAATGTACTAAATGACTGCGCAGTACCAACTTCACAGTCAAGGGCCTGTGTAGATGTGCCCTTTCAGGCATGTTTAATCTAGACTTAGCAGATGTGTTAATGACTAAACCAGTGGTTCCTAAATTGTGGTTCACAACCCCAAATGGGTTTGCACATCAGTAGATAGGGTCATGGGGGTGGGAGGCTGTGGGTTGGGTGTGAGGGGCCTTGCTGAGGAAATGGGTCATGATGAGGAAATGGGGCCATAAATAGGGTCATGCTGAAGAAAAGTTTGGGAAGCACTGGACTAGACTATCTGTATTTAACATTCTGTATTTGAATGGCAAATGCAATACTGCTCTGAGGGTTTCTCCCACAAATGTATCCTAAACAAGCATGAAGACAGTGTAACATTATGAGATTTTCATGTATGTTTATCGCACCCAACAGTAGCTAGTAAGACATTTACATCTTGTTACAATATTTTTATAGTTTGGGTGATTCCTTCAAACTAGATGCCTCTAAGAGTTAAGTAGCTGGTCACTTCATTCTTACAGAAAACAGATGTTTTTGTCCAGTACTTTCACAAGAGCAGCTGAAACAAGTCAGTAATATTTCAAGCATTACACTACTACCTCACTTGTAAAGAATCTAGGGCCTGATTCTCTAGCCTTCACTTATTTGGTAAATCTGATTCTCAAGCATAACCCCACTGCCTTTTTACATGAGTAAACATTGGCAGGATTGGGCTCAGACTTAGTAAAATTTCCAGCCTTACAACATTGCTTCACATTTGCAACACATTTTATTGCCTATTAACTTGATAAAGAAGAATTCAGTGTTGCTCATTGCTAGTACTGTTTTCAACCCTTTGCATAACAAACTGATTTTCCTTTCAGGAAAGCAATACAGTATAGCCATCAGCTGTCTCCACATTAGAGGGCAGGAAAAAGGAGAGAATCTTTGGATTTAGGAGAATTCAGCACACGCAGGAGGACGTGCTTCCTTCTCATGCATTTATCACGGATATACTTGCTCACTATAAGAATAATAAATGTGACAAGTATGGCCTTATGTGTCATCTCAAAATACATCTGGCATGAAGAAGGCATGCATATGTGTTTATGTAAACATGTCAAACATTAAGGGCTATATCCACTCAGCTGCAGTCAATGGGCCAGACATTGGCCTCTGGGAAGATGTTTTGTACAACTAGAAAGACAGCTGTGGTTAGCCTCAGTATGGGGGCATGCTTGGGGTGGTATGATTAGGGCGGGCCAGGTATGGGAGGAGGATGGGATCCCCAACTATGCAGTGATCTCTATAGGTAGGACATGTGGACTCCGATTTAGCAAATCAGTTAAGGACCTGGTAATACCACATTCCCACTCAAGTATATGGTTAAGTACATAACTGAACTAGAGCTGCTAACATGTCCAATAAGTAAACATAATAAAGCCATATTCAACCAGCTATAAAGCAAGATGCTTCAACTATTTTATAAATGGAGTTACATGTCACAACAACATGGCTATTTCACAGTGAACACATCTGTACATATATGTCTTAGTAAACTGAAAACCACCACCTTGTCCTGCTTGTTTCTCTGCATGTTACCATACTGATGATACTAAATAAAATATTGTGAATGGAAGGGCAGGGGGAATCAGTTGTGCCTTAGTACCATGTCTCATCCCAAGAAAGACAACCTGAAAACGAAGCAGCTTACAGGTTTTGGCTGCTGCATTCATTTTCTTTGAAATTTCTTTGCCTATTCGAGATGATACTATTATTTGTTTACTGGAAAGTTTTGATAGTGCCCTAAATAAAGGTCTTGTGTTCATCTTTTAATATATTGTAACTTAACAGAAACCTTTTTTGCTTTTTATCTGAGCCTTTGGTCTTGTTGCCTTATAGTTTTTGTAACATGGCTGGCATGCTTGATGCTTTGATAGCTATGGGAATGGACAAATACAAACTTGGAGCAGCTTCAGAAGAGGAGGGGGAGCTGTTGCTATGGATCAATGAGAAGTATTATAAAATATAATATTTTTTCTGTCTGTCTGAGCACAAATCCAACTCCACATTTAGACACATAAATTGATGTATGGGTGCATAATTCGTATTTTGGGCCACATGCTAGAGGTGGCAAGTTTTTTCAAGCCACAGGCTGAAACAACCCAGCAGGGTATCAGCAGTTTGGGGCTTTCCCTGCATCCATGCTGGGGCCAGGTAGCACTGCTGCTGCTTCTCCTAGCCCCTTAGTTCCCAGATGCGGCACGGATTGGGCAAAACCTTCAGCTGGTGGAAAGCTGTGCTAGGACCAAGTATCTGTAAACTGTGTTGGCACTGCCACTGTTTCTCCCTGCTCCCCCACCCCTACCTCACCACAGCTGGGCAGAATTGGAAGCCACCTGGGCCCAGTCCAATTGGAAGTTGTACCCACACTGCAGCTTGGGGAGAGGAGGAGGGAAGCAGCTGCAGTGCTGATAGTTTGCAGATGCCTAGCCCCAGCACAACTCCCCATAGGTTGGACACTGCACCTGTACCACAAACAGGGAGCAGGGGGCTGGGAGAAGTGGCAGCAGTGCAAGTGCAACTCCCAGTTGCCTGGTTCTGGAGCAGGCACAGGCAAAGCCCCCACTGCTGATGTATTGCTGAAACCAGCCCATGTTGCACTGGTGCTGGGAGGGTGGGGAGATGGAGCAGTGGTGCCAGCACAGCTGGAAGCCATCTGCCTTTAACACAGCTCCTTGCTGGTGCAAGCACAGGAAAAGCCCTCCTACTCTGTAGGCCATGTCCACTAGCTCCATGGGCTGGATCAAGCCTGCGAGCCATATGTTGTCAACATATCACTCATGCAGATTTTAGATCTTGGAAAGGTGTGTAACTACATGAAACCTGCAAGAAAAGGAGAAGGTGGAGGGCCCTTACAGTTTTGCACTAGTAGCCTAGTGTCCAGGACACTTGCCCAGGAAGTAGAAGACCCAGGTTTTAGGCCCCTCTTTGCCCAGTGGACATGTGACCCCCTGAACACAGTACAAGCCTTAATGCTTGACATGGTTACCTAAACACACGTGCATACGCACTTCATACATATTTTGAGATGATTTACTAGGCCAAATTCCCAGCAAAGTATCTTAACTACCAGGCTATAGGTTAGCCATTGTCAGGTATATCCTACACCCAGTCTGTTGAAGGTTGCACACTGAACAGCCAAGAGTGGAAGGTATGTGGAACCAGAAGGAAAGCATTCAGAGGGAGTATGACTCAATAAGATAGTTGCCACCTGGGAAGGCAGGGACCCTGACTTCTGTTCTATACTCCTACCCATAGGAGCTGGGTTAGTGGGCCTGATCTGTTACCTGTTGAAGTCAGTGAAACACTTCCATTAGATCAAACCTCAGTTTGTTACATGCTTCACAAGGCTGTTGTGAACAACAGGGTTTATGCTATGATTTGAAAATACAACAGGAGATGTAATTACTAATTATTAAATGAATGCTAACAGGACAAAGTAGGTCCAAAATAGGAGGTGTTGTAAAAATCAGTATTGTAAAAATCTAAAACCAGAGTATTTACAAAATCTAAATATCATCATGACATTTTTGTTTAATTCTGGGGGATACCATTTTCTTATGCAAACATTTTTTGTCATGGTTTGCAACCAAAATGTGATGGCATTAAGTTAATTTGTGGAAATCTGAAATTGTAGATTATTCAAAAATAAGTACAAGCAAACATGAAAGGGACTACTCTACATTCAATTCCCAACATGAGAGAAAATGCAGATTAAGCAGTACCAATTAAATGATCTTCATTAAGGTTTTTCACTTTCTGTATTTTAAGGTGATGTATATGACGTAGGTAAGGAAATTGGAAAATTATGTTTTAACTTGAAATGTCTCTCTAAGAATAAAACTTGAGAGAGAGTGGTGCTGTTTAATAATGCATTACCATCTGCAGAGTACAAAACTGAATGAATGTTCTTCGTACATTCTGCAGAAACTTAGCCAGAAATGCTGTGCCAACAACAATAGTGCCTGAAGACATTTGCTTGGAGAAGGAGTGTAGCATCTAAAACTGATTAGCAGAGTAAGCAGAAAGGAAGTGGATTTAGACCTGGGGCAAATATATTATGGAGAAGAGAATGGGTGGATGGATGTATTCAGTAGTTGAGCGCCATGGTTTTTGGCAGTGCTAGTTAGGAGTCAGATCACAACATGGGAGTTGGCTTGGGCTGTTATTCTGAAAGGGTCATAAGGGTTTTCCAAAGCATGCATTTTCTATCATTTAAAAATGTGGGACTTGAAGAAGGAGATGGAAGTTTGGCTGGTGATAATGAAGAATCAGAAGAGGATTCATGAAGGAAAGAATTAGGGATTTGGAAAGCATGCAGAAAAGACTGAAAAATGTTCAATAATTTAAAATAACCAGAGAATCAGAAATACCCTTTTATTTTATATAACAAATGTTTCATGGACATTGCAGACATAGCATAATTCAAGATATTAGGAAGTTCAAGGGGTGCTAACGTGATAGGGAATATCATCCAAACTCTATTATGAACTGTTGTATAACTGCATCCCTGAAAAGCTTTTGCCATGCTAAAGTACATTTCCCTATTATACTGAGTCTTCTCTACAAGATAATTTAATTTTTCTTTATGTCTACTCTTATTACTGCTGGATCTGGAGATGACTACATACGAGGATATGCACAGCAGGCCTGTTTCCCACGCTAGTGTCATTTAGAAAATGTCACATTCCAGACGTTGGCTTAAGAATTTATTCCATTTGCACGTGTCTACATGTGCAGATGCTGCTGGATGGGTTTACTCCAAAGTAATTTGGGTAAACCCCACCACGGGAGTTTACTCCAGAGTAATCTACATGTGCGCCCTTTTGGGAGCAGATTTGCTGCTTCTGGAAGCAGTCTGCTCCCACCCCCTCCAGCACTGCACCAGCCCCCTGCAGCAGCCAGGGAGAGCTCTAGGTTCCCCCTTAGTGCTAGCTTAGGAGCTAGTGGGGAGCTGTCTCCTGGTTGTGAGCGGAGACTGCTCCCTCCCTGGGAGTTGCCTGCTGCCCTAGCAGCAGGGAACTCCAGGCCCTGGCTCCCCAGCTGGGAGCAGGGGGCTTGGAAAGAGCTGCAGGGGAGAGGCAGGCTCCAGGTTCCAGCAATACCTTGCTGCTAGCTGCCCCACCAGTGGATCAAGGCAGGAGGCTGGGACCTGCCTCTCCCCCACAACTCTGCCCCTGCTCCAGACAAGGCTGTCACCGCTGCAAGGACCTGGGGCAGAGTTGCAATCCCCTACCTGTGCGCCCCTGCCCAGAGCATGCCAGCTGCAGATCGCAGCTCTGCCTGGCTCCAGAGCAAGCTGCCCCTGTCGCAAGATCCCAGCAGCTCTGGAGCAGCCCCCTGCTCTGGCCTGCCAGTGCGGCTGAGGCTGGCCTCCATTGCAACCGCAGCCTTAATTAAGTTTTGCAGAGCAGGTGTGGTTGAGGTCTCCATGGAGACTGGCCTCTGCCATGCACAAGGGCAGCTGGGAAGTGGAGTCCGCTGCTGACCGGATCTGGCCCATGGGCTGGACTTCGCCTGTCTCTGTGTTAGCAGATCTGTTTCAAACATAACAGAAGGATAGAAAACATCAGTAAATGAAACAAAATAATTAGGTTAGTACAATCTAAGTGTTGTGTTATCTCCAAAGGCCTCCAGATTCTGATTAAGATATCTTTCTAAAGCTTTCAGTTTAGGGAGAAAGCTGGTGACCCTCTTTTAGAAGTGAATAAGCTATATTTTTCTGGTGTAATGATGCAGAAGCAGGCCTGAGACTCAAGCCCAGGTAGTGGGGAGTATACAGATGTTTACAGCAGTTCCTGAAGTAGGAGACATAAAAGTACTATTAAAACCTTTTTGTTCCACTTTGGAAATAACAGGGAAAATGCCAAAGGGTGCATGCTTTGAAACAATGCTTTCTTTTCCTGCTAGCCTAAGGTTCCAACCCAGATAAGAACTATCCAGGGGGTACATCTACTTTATTTCCCCATGTCCACTCACGTGCACTGTCTCTCTCTGGTATACCTGAGAGCAGCAGCAGACATTGCTGCTGGAGTGGCTTCACTACTTTATTTCTGAGACTGGCATATGGGAGTGGGAATGGTTGGTGGAGTGTACCCAAGAGTGAATGCCTTACATCACCAAATAGGTAGTATGGACATACCCAGGAGTAACTGTTATATATCACTTTCAGATTACACTTCAGAAAGTGAATTATCACTACACATTTAGCAAATAGGGAGATGGAAGGCACAAAAAAGCAAAGCAGTTTACCTCCCAGGATCATGCACTAGGTCAGTGAAAGAGCTAGGAATAAAGCTTTCATCTTCTAACATGCCATTGGGCATATTAAACAATGTACCAGACTGCCTTTTATGCAATGTTCATGGAGGAAAGAGTGGTGTTATAAGACCTGCATCAGACACAATGGTGGCTCAGAAAATGAATCCCTTTGTTTGCTTATTGGAAGTGATGGAATTTAAGTGTCATTTGCAAAGTCGTTGTTACAAGTCTGTTTTAAATGTGAACACACAGAAATAGTCTAAAATTACAATGTTTAAAGTTTTAAGAGCAGTGTTAACTTGGTTGCAATACAGATAGTAAAATATAGGACAATATAGCAGACATCAACTACAAATCAGACCAGTACATTAAAATATAAACCTTTTTAATTCCCACTAATGGCTCAGAAACTCCTACATATTATTGCATTTTGGAGGTTACTACGTATGTGCATAAATAGGACCTATTATAATCTCTGCTGTAGTGCTGCACATCTCAAATGAGAAACTACAGCTTCTATTAAATTTAATTATTTCCCCCAGCATAGACTATAGGCTGTTACAGAACAAGAGCTGCTTTCTTAAATTTAATTACATCCCACTGTGGCTGAAAGTGAGACTATAAAACAAGTGCAGTTAATAATGGAGAAGGTTTCTAAATTAAAATATGCGGCAGAAGACGAAAGTGATATATTATACCAAATGACAGATATTGAATCAGGAAATAAGAAAAATATTTGATAGAGGTAAACCTGGCTTTATATGTTACAGAAGAGAAACAGCTAGCTAAGAATGCCTTGAAAAAAAATTGAAGGTCTAGTCTTTTGATGGTATAAGTTAGGTAACTTGTATTGAAACTGCACCAGCTAAAGATTTGGCCCATGCTCTTTGAAAGAATTGCACAAAGAAAAATGTCAAATCAAATGTTAATCTGTCAGTATAAATAAGGAAAATATGTTACAAATAGATAACACTAAAAAGTCTGATGTTATTGCAATAGAACTACTGCAAGGAGAGTAATAAAGAAATAGAATATTGGAACTGGTATTTCAGAGCCAGGAAAAGTAAACTGATAACTGTCTCTAATGAAAGGAAAAGATGGCGCACTTGAGTACTTTTCCTCCAAGGAGATTTACATGGAATTTGTGATGTTTTCTCAAAACTTTAGGCAAAACAGAGGTAGAAAAGTGCTGTACTGAAAATGATTTGAGAGAGGATATAATGCTTAAAATCCCAGAGGACTTGAAGGAAATTTTGGAAGACCTAATATCACCTTGAAGGGAGATGGACGTGGAGTTAAAATCTTTATTGTCAGATGAAGCAACAGATCAAAATGGGCTACTTTGTGAGTTCCACAGCAAGTTAAAAAAGTGATCTACTTGACTAAAGAACCAGTCAGGATTTCTTGAATGCAGGACTGTGGGATTCTTCCTACAGAGAATAGCAATTTCTCTGTGTATCAGTGATAATGCACAAATCATATGCAGGATTCCTTTGGACTGGAAGAATAGGAGTCCTGGTGTGGAATTCTGATGGACATGTGGAAAACATCCCTTTTTGTTAGAGACAAATAAACCACTGTGATCCCTGTGGATGAGGTTTATGTTGCATCTGCAAGCATTAGGACTGTTCGGTTTTATGGCTCTGGGAGCTAAAAAAGTACCCCAGAAAAAGAATATATTTTGGGGGTTTTTTAAAGATTTTTTTTTCTCCTGTCTTTCTGTGCTAGAAGTCTGTACAAATAACTGACAGATCACACAGGAGAAACTGCAAAGCTGACCACACACTGAGCATTGTTAAATGCACAGAATTCAATAACAGAGAAAAATGTTTCTGTAACTGTTTCCAATTATAGTGATCTTATGAATTACTTGTAAAAATAGGAAGCACAACATTTTCAGATGGAAATCTTAATTTAAGTCGCTGATGTCTCTTTAAGCTAGAACATACTTACATGATTAAGAAAAACCTAGTATATTTACATAAGAATGGAACGTGCAATATTTGCATAATTCTGTGCAGTATAGGTACTAGCATATTAAAACTGTCTCAACTAATCTTTAGTATGTCTCAATTGTATTTCAGGATGGACATCCTTTATTTACATAATATCTGGCAATGTGTATGTTGGTAAGTTGGTGACTCTTTTATTTAAGTTGTTCATGGAAAGAATTCAAAGTCTCAAAAATGTCTCAGCAAAAGAAGGGAAGATCTGACCCCCAAATATTTAAGAAGCTAGTCTTAAAAACCTAAAAATATCAAAACATGGTGATCTGTTAGTGCAGTTGTCAACTATGCTCTTTTTGTAAGTATCAATATTTGGGCTAGATGATATTTATGGTCCCTCTCAGCCCTATGATTGATACTGTTGATACTCTCTTGTTTTAACCAAAAATCTCATCAAGAACAAATTAAGAGATGATACTTAATTTTTCAATATTCCTCTTTAGATCCATTTAACAATTTCATCCAATGGATTTAGACCCCATTCCTGCTGTCTCCTCTGTGTAGGCCTCCACAGAGCCCTGGTGGACTCCACGCAGGGGGACCAAGCTGGGAGAGCAACCTGCAGGGTAAGGGATATGCTGATAAAATGCATGAGGCAATGATTTCTTAGAGTTATATCTTTTATTGGAACAACTATATATTTGGGATAAAGTTAGATAAGCTTTTGAGTGCAAGACATTCTTCATCAGGTCCCTGATCACAGGAAGCTAGGCACAGCGTAGGGAAACAGCAGAGGGGACGGGCTGAGAGAAATTATCAGGGGTAGCAGACATAATTAGTATCAGAGGATAATTACTGGGAGATCAAGGCCTATCAAAACAGGGAGTAGGGTCATTCTCACCTTCCTTATGTGGAATTGGATAAATGATAATGTGCCATAAAACCAATATCAGTGTTTTAGTCCTTGGTGCTCAGGGTGCTGATAGACATACAGGTCCCTGCTCTAACTCATGGTGCTTCATATAAAGTACCATAAGTTAGAGTGACTACTTTTTTATTGGGCTGGGGTGGGGGGGGATCAAGCTCCACTTGGAGCCAATCCAGAGGAAGAGCTGCCTACCTTCAGCCTTTCTCCTCTAGCCCTGGTCCCTGCCCCAGCTCTGGTGCTGTCTGCAGGAAGGGAAGGCAGGGAAGGGAGGGGAATGGAGCTGTAGGCTGGGGTTTGTCTGACTTGAGCTGCAGGGAGATGGAATTGGGGGAGAACTGCATGGTGGTGGGGCTCCAGTCTACCCTCCCCACCCATCCCGTCCCCCTGCTCCATCTCAGGTCAGGCAAACCCCAGCCCACAGCTCCACCCCATTCCTTCTCTCCACTCCCTTCCTGCAGCCAGCATGGCGGACAGAGCTGAGTCAGCCCAGCCCTGATTGCACTGACAGACACATCCTAGGTAACAGAAGTTCCCTAAGGTTCTCCACTTTGGAGCACCTTCATCTAATCCCTCATTAAAAGAGGGTTAATTTATCTCACAATAGACCACTTTTAAAGTGCTCTGCAGCCGTGCATGTAAGTCACAGCATGGCCATAGAATCCTTTCAGGGGGCCAATCACATGAGTCACACCTCTCAGGTTATGGATTTTGTTCCCAAGTTTCTCTTTTAAACATGTTAGGTATATTTCCCTTGTGCATGCGAATAATGAGGTCAGACAGAGAGTGGTTGGTCTGTAAGAAAGATGTTCCTAATGGTGTATGTATATCAGGCTTTACAGCAAAATGATAGGTGGTGCTGAGCAAATCAAGAAATGCAGGTGGTGTAACTCCCTGTCCCCATCTAACAAAGGACAGATACTCACAACTGATGGAATAAACTGCTTAGCAGGGGCTAAACTGAATAAGGGTCAACACAAAGATATGTTACCACAGGAGCAAAGCAAAAGCGAGAGAACAACTGATAATAGTAGTCTGGTCCCAACTTAAAGAACAGCAGAAGTAACCTGTGCAAGTCTTAACCTAGTCCAGGTTACCTCCCCTAGTGCAGAAGCTGAGCTGCACTGAACTGCATGTAGGGGTGGTGTAAATGATTCCCCCTTTCTTTTTTTTCTACCCATGTGTGCAAGAAGGTGAATAGTAGCCGCTTCACAGGCTTCTGTGTCCTATGTGATCTGCCAGGTGGGTAACCCGAGAGGGAAGAGAGGGCATTTTACATCCCTTGCCCAACAATTATCCTTTCTATGGGGGATTACATAAAGTTTACAACCTTGATCTGGACTTGCAACCAAAAAAGAACAGGACCTATTTTATTATTATCCTGGGCAATATGCCTCAGGATACTAGGAATTACAACCTATTTAGCTCTACTAAACGAGAACTAGGTCCATTGGGGAATAAATAAACAGTAGCTGATAAAGTAATATTTTATGAAACTACTCTGGTACTAAATTAGAACCAGGTTTTTCAGGTAGCTTTTCCTGTGTTTTTACAAGGCTTGGAAAGCCAAATCTAACAATATTTGCAGCTGAATTCTTTTTAGTGGGAATTTTTTGAGCTGTACTGTTACACTTAGTGTTCCTGGCCAAGGTTAGCAGTGGAAAATAGTTCTTATCTGATTTGGCTGGTTTTATAACTGAAAGCTATTTAAAAATATTTTGTCCTTTGAGACATACTTTATTTGCATTAAGAAAATGAGGTAATTTAATAAAATATCAGAGAAATTACCTGTGAACATAGGTATTGCCCTCTGTACTGCTGCTCTGTGGTTCCTGCGTAAACCATTCATACATACGTTTTTTTTGGAAAATAAATCTAAAATGTTGCAGAACTGGATCAAGGGCCTACCATTCAACCATGAAGACAGAATTGCCAGAACAGGAGAAAAACATGGGTTAGATCTATTCTATACCCAATATGAAGTAATTCTTCAGACCATGACATTATAAGCTCTGTCCATCCAATACAAATGTTTTAAGGAAGTAGAAATGATCCCATAAAAAGCCAGAATCTCAGATTCTTGGAGAATTTGTGCTGACGTTATCTAAGCTTGAATTCCCTGGAAGGACTATAGAATAGAAAATACTTAGGACGTGTAATAGGTTATTCTTAAAAGAACCCTGCTGATTGTTGCAGTATATGGACACTTTTTAAACATTATCGTATTGCTTTGTTAAGTCCAGTTAATTGTTTTTAAATGCATCATTGTTCTTTCATAATGAAAAAACTGATTCCAGCAACCCTGTCATCCTGTCCTGCTCTTGAATATTGATTTACAAAAGGCACATAGAGGGACCAAGATGAGCACTCTACCTCTGCAGCTGGCTTTTCAGGGATACTTGGTAACAAATGGCTAAGTTTAGTGTTCTACTTTCATCTGATGCATGATGAACGCTGATCATTTTCCCATTGTCTTGTACTTTTGTATCATATAAACAGTCCTGAAAGAAGCTGCACATGAATTCCAATTAAAAAACAACAGTTTTTTGTCTGGAAAATATTTGTTAGTTTCATTTGTCCAGTTTTGAAGTGCTTGGAAATTTCACTTAGAAAAAATAATAAATCATGTTTTACTATATCATCACTCAGAGTGGTAGTATCCTAAATTATTCACACTCTGAGCTGCATAGCGACTTAAGTGGTACACAGGGAAAGAACTGGAAGACTCCCTCCCCCAATACTCCCACCCAGAATCAACTAGAAATGTGTAGTCACATCCTGTTAGTCTGTGATCAATAGTAAATAATGGTGAAGAGTTAAGAAGGCTCACACAGGGCACTATGCACCCCCTTGATCCCTTTTAAGAAAATTTAGTGGGGTCTACATGAGACATAAGGCCTTAGGACAGATTTCTTCTCTGAAAATATAAAAATCCTATCTGAATAGTTTCCAGAACAGTTTGAGTACAACTACTCAAATTTAGGGATTGTCTTTGAATTCTTTATTTCTTTTATTGTAGAAGTATTGTAATTGTGCAGTTTTATACCAAGACCCCATGTTACAACATAAAAAGGTCTTGGGACTCTTTGTTAAGACCCCTTGCATCTATCCAGAAAGGGTTAGCAGTTTTGCACCCTCATAGATCTATTTGCAACCCCTATACCAGGCACTTGCTTATTAGTATTTCACATATGTTAATTTCCATCAAGCCTCCATTCTCAAATGGAACATTCTCAACTAATTCTTAATCAGCTGCAGTTGTCTTGAGATAATCTTGAGAGAATAAGAGAAATGGGATTTGTTCATCTGGTGAGGAGGACTTGTGTATGTGTGAAAGAAGCAAAACTATTAGGGAAAAGTTAATTTTTGTAAAAAGCACATTGAGTACAATAACTTAAGAGCATTTTTACATGTGCTGTGGGACACAGCACCAGGCACTTTAGTTAGTGAACTGTGCTAATTAAAAACATCCATGTGTCATGTGTATCAGCATCCTTACATATCCCTGCACTGAAAAAATGGAAATGGGGTGCTTTGACCTAAAGCTCATTGAACGTGTTTTATTTCAAAGCACCCCACCACCATTTTTTCAGAGCAGAGATGCACTGGGACACTGATACACATGATGCATAAGGTTTCCAGTGCGCATCAATTTCCATGCTCTGGCAGACTCCATTAATTGAGTCTGCTCCAACACACTAGATTTCCAGTGCGTTGGAGCAGGCTTTGAACACATGTATAGGAGCCCGTATCATAGAATGTTTGGAAAGGAAGGAATAACAAATTCATAATTTGTAACTTTGATCATGCTGTTCATTGTCTTTTTAAATATGTTTTTGTTCAAAGGCCCTGATGCTGCCAAACAAAAAATTGAACCCCACCACACAGTGGTGTTGGGTGATGGTGACTGTGTTCAGTTTGAAAATAAGGTACTTCTGCTTCAATGATTGTAGCCTAAAGCTCACTTCTGTGTAAGATTTCAGGTGGAAATTTGTAACATTATTTCTGCGATTGGTAGTTTCTTTTTTCCCTTTATTCTCTCTTAATGTACAAAGATGCCATCAGAACTTCACAAGCTGAAAAAAGTCAAACATAGCAGCACACCTGTCCTTTTCATAAACAGACTTAATGACATTTTTTTACTTCTTGATCATGCATACCAGTCCCTCCCTCTAGAAGCGTATATTCATAAGGAGGTGAAATCCTAACAGGAGAGACTTACCATTACTTCCAGGCAGTGAGGACTTCATTCAGGGTGTTCATTTAACCTCTTTTATGATTCCTTTATTGATTATGAATATTTTAAATAAGTCAGTGAATAAGTGTTATAAGATAATCCCTTTTCCTAAAGAAGACAAAGGTGTGCTTCATTAACCTTAACAAATTAGCCCTAGAGGTTAAATCTACATGTGCAATTAGCAATAAACTCTATTGCAGTTTGCACTGGAGTCAGCAGCTCCTGGGCACAGCATATACATGTGTGCCTGG